AGGGTTTCAAGGTGAAAATCCTAGGTGTCATCCTAAGAGGGTTTCAAGGAACGTTTTAACAAATATGGAAGTAACAAATATATGGTAATTAATATGGAATATTTTATTTTTAAAATATAGAGTATTTGTGAGAATATCTTATTTTGTTTTTAGTAATACTAGATTTTTTGATCCGCGTCAAACGCGAGATTAGAATATTCAAAAATAAAAAATACACAAGAGAAAATAAAAATAACAAAGACCAAATGGTATATATCTCCCATATTTTATTTTGAAAAAGTTATTTGCATGAAACTTAGATTAAATGTATAATTTTTTTGAGAAATATCACTTTTGAGATGCTACTTTTCAAGAATGTCATCATTTTGATTTTTTTTTCAAAAATGACATTAATCTTCTATATATTTATTGAGTAGACATTTAGTGAAAAAATTTGTTATTCAATGAGGTCTTTTTAAATGACTATATTTTAGCCCAATTACCCACCAAATTTATATCATATATACAATATATAATCATCAAACGAATATCGAAACAACGAGTAGGTGGTAGTTAATATGAAAGATTTTATTTAAAAAACATAGAGTATATGTGAGAATATATATATTTTTTTACTAATATTAGTTTTTTTGACCCGCGTCAAATGCGGGATTAGAATATTCAAAAATGAAAAATCATGATTTTTTTATTACACGGAAGAAAATAAAAATAAAAATAAAAAMATCAAATGGTGTATATCTTTCTATTATTTTGAGAAATGTCACTTTTCAAAAAATTCAATCATTCTTAAATTTTTTCAAAAGTGCCACTAATCCTCTATATATTAATTGAGTAGAATTTAGTAAAAAAAATGTGTTATTCAATAAGATTTTTAAGGAACATGTCATTTAAATTAACAATGAAAACATTTCTATTAAAACTATATGCCATGGTTGAAATCTCTACGTGTTTTTATTAATTTTATAACATAAATCTATTAATACATGTTTTACAGATTTAAGTTTAACTAAATGTAATATTTACACTTACCAT